GCTTTTTTTCGTATTCCCGCGAAACTCTCGAGCTTTGGCTGCCGCTGAAGTTACGGCCCATGAAGATCCACTGGTTACTGGTCCCACAAATGCCTATGTACAGCCATTGTGGCCCACAGGATGGGCGGTCTGGATTGACCCAATCGTCTCTCCAAGTCGTTGGGAAGAGTGAAAGTGCATGGAATAATCCATACGGCTTTCCGTACTTGATAAATTAATAAAAAATAAAGTTAAAAATAAAACGTCAGTGGAAGGTGTTTTAGCCATTTCGCTTAAAGCGGCAGTGGTAAGCTACCCACTCGTCCAGGCCTAGTATGGTAACTTCACAAAACTACCGAAGTGAAATATTCCCGTTAGTTCAGTAGTTCACCTGCACTACTGCACGGCGAACTGCAAAGAGACAATCGAGGAAACGAAACGATTTGCTTCTTCTTCTGCTGCTCTGCTTCTTCTTTTGTTCCGTCTTCAATGGCGACCGTCGAGGATTCCGTAGACGAAGCCCTTGAGACCTGCGTGGTCTTGGGTGGTCGAAGCTTCATTGGAAGATCGTTAGTTTTGAAGCTCTTAGAATCGAAGAAATGGATAGTTCGCATTGCTGATTCCGCTCCATCTCTGCATCTTGACCTCAATGAGCAGAGCTCCGTTCTCTCTGAAGCAATTTCCACTGGACGGGCTTCCTATTTCCAGGTTGATGTTCGAGAGAAAACTCAAATTGTCAGAGGTGAATCTTCGATGCAACTCACAGTTTTCGGTGTCCACACTGTCCTCTTTTCTTTGTTGGGTTCTGTCATTGTGGTGTTTACTAATTAAAACGATTGTGGTTGTATTTTTTTATCTCTTCACTCCTGCTTGGTTACGGTTTCTTGGTTCTTGAAAAGTATAGTTTGAAATTAAGTTGTATATGTTTGATTGTAGAAAGATAGAGAGAGTTGTGTTTCGTTTTTTGATTCTGAATGCGATTCTTTTGGTGTTGATTTTGCCCTTGTTTTAATCATTATTGTTATTACTATTATTATTATTATTATTATTATTGTTGTTGTTACTAAATAGATGACAATAATGAGGGTGTTAATGTAATTTTATCACGTCTGAAATGCGTCTAATGTTGGTAAGACATGAAACCAAGTCTTACCAATTCATATATGAATTTGTGTTTCATATCCTCTAATCAAACCTAAACTCAAACGCCATTGGCATCTCAAAAACAAAGTTTTCAGACATCAGACGTGTAAAAAGTGTTATTGAACGCCACCTTAGTGATTCAATTATAAGAAACTTAGGTATGATCTTGTCAACTAATATGTGAGGAAGAGCACTATTGTTACCTAAAATTGCATTGGAAGGAGCCATAGTAATTACATTCTTGTAAAGCTCTCTTGAAATGTGTAAAGTCACAACCTTGATGCCTCCTCTCTCTTGGGTCAATGGGGAAGCCTTTCTCTATGCAAAGAATACATGAAGTCCAGGGTTGGGGACCTCTTTAAATAGAGGAAACCACCAACCGTTTCCATACATATCAAGGAATGGTTCGACAAAGGCATTCACTAGCATTTGAAATGTTTGGTAGGGTGTTACAAGAAGATTAAATGGTCAATTGCAAGATCATTAATCAACCAACTTAATGATTTGAATGTTTTGTTCTTACAATCTCCCACTTGGTCTCGCAATGATAATTGTTTAATTAAATAGCCATATATTTTCTTGAAAATATACAATATACATAGTATTAATATATAGTTTTGACAAGCAAACATACTTTAATAAAACACCCCATTTACATTCTCATGGGGTCTTCAAAATTAAATTAGACCAAGACAAATAAGACTATCGACACAAGATCATGAAGGTCGTTACATCTTCACTAACAACATAATGCCATTCTATGGTCATTGTATTAGCATCCTCAATCTCCATGGTCCATAACCTTAATATGGAAAGATCTGTATTATGTTATGATCAGTCTCTTCTCTCCAACCTTTATGATCTCTTATACTCTTTATATTTACAACCTACTAGAATCCTTATAGCGAAAAAGTAGATAAATGAGGCATAATAAATGGATCAAAACTATATTGTATGGGAACAATAATAGTGTCAACATTATGCTAACAAAAAACACTCCCACTAGCCAAAAGAATCAAAAGATGCTACAATACCCATACGGTTTCATGTTCCATGAACAATTTTATATTGAGAGATTTGATCAAGGGGTCATTGCTATAGTGCTGATATGCTCCACAATGATCTCTTGTTCGCGAACCTTCCTTGTTACAATAAGAAACTTTATGTCATTGTGCTTGGGCGCACCTAAACTTTCTTGTTCTTAGAGTGTAAAGCTTCAGATTTGCCACAATAAATTCTCAGCGGCTTGGAAATAGTACCAATGAACCAAAGTGCTGAGATAAAGTTTCATAGTCAGATTGCTTGCTTAGTTGCCTCCTAGCAAGTCACAAATTCCTCCTTCATAGTCAACGAAGTTGCAAGTGACTATTTAGCACTCTTTTTGGAGATAACACCTCCAACCAACATGAAAATATAACCAAGTGTTGACCTTCTGTCATCTGAACAACCACTAAAGTCTGAATCTATATACCCATTAGGGGTATCAAATCTACCACATATGAGCATGAAATCCTTGGTTCTTGAAGATACCTCACAATTTTCTTTATTGCTCTATAGTGAGCCTTTCCATGTCACTTTGATATTTGTTAAGTACAATAACTACAAAAGCAATGTCTAGTCCAGTGCAAATTTGAGAGTAAATGAGACTCCTAACAATTGAGTCATAAGAGAATTTATCAAATTACTTTTTTCATCTCTTTAACCTCTAATTCAGTCTTTGGACCACTAGTTTTTGCTAAGTTTCTTGCCTTTATTGATTGAGACATCTCTAGGTAAAAATTGGCCAATGTCATACCTCAATGATGAAAGATGCTTCTCCCAAGTCTTTCATGTCAAAATTATTAGTTAAAAACCGCTTAGTTTGTAAAAGCCGACTCATGTCACTATTTGCAACCATAATGTCATCATCATAAAGAACCAATATGACAAACCTATTCCAACTAGTCTTGAGATAGATGCATTCATTAATTACATTTTCTTTGAAACCAAAAGATGTGACAACTTCATCAAACATTATGTATCATTTCCTTGATACTTGCTTTAGGCCATAAATTGATTTTTTCAATTTACATACAAGGTCTTCATTGTCTTTCATTTTGAACCCTTAGGTTGAACCATGTACTCCTCTTTATGTAATTCACCATTCAGAAATGTTGTTTTGACATCAATTTGATGTAAATCTATATCAAAATGAGCCGTGAGAGCTTTATACCTTTTTATATTGCCATTAATTTGAATCTTGTTTTGTTTTATACACTAATTTACAACCAATTGGTGTGGCTCTATTAGGCAATTCTACGAGATTGAAAGCATCATTCTTCTTCATTGATTCCATTTCATTAATCATGGCATGTATCCATTTGGACGATTGTTGGCATTTGTTGCATTTTTTATATGTGGCTAGATAATTTTCAGTGCCAACATCAAATTCACACTGTTGTAGATAACAAATAAGATCTCTAGAGATGACTGATCTCCTTAACAATACTTCTTTGTTGGTGGGTTATCACTTCTATAGGAGAGTGTGGACCTTCTCTTTCTATTTGATCATCAATCACTATTTGGTGATTGCCATTTATTTCTTCAATCGGAATAGGTAGAACATACATTGGAATTCTTGAACAATAACTGATGTAAGCCTTTCCTCAAGCTCAATGTGTTGAATAGGCACATCATCACCGATAAACTCATCCTCAATAAATTTTGCATTTCCAGTTTCTACAATGTAGGTTGTGCATGATGGACAACAAAACTAATTTGTACCATTTAGATCTCTCACGGTATCCTATAAAGTGGCAACTCACTGTTTTGGGGTCTAACTTCTTCTCTTGGGGTTTATATAATCTAGTTTCTACTTTACGTAGAATTGCATATAATGCTTCTAACCATGTCCATCAAGGTGTGGTTCCTTGTTTCTTCTAGTCCATTTTATTTAGGAGTCTCACACATGGTATATTGTGCAACAATACCACACCCTTTCAAAAGTTTGGCAAAAGGTCCTAGATATTACCCAAATCCATCAAATTTCCCATAGTGCCCTTCTCTTCTATTAGCTTAATTTTTTTGTTTTTGATTCTCAACTTCAGCTTTGTAAATCATGAAGAATTCCAAAGCTATTGTGCCTTATACACCTATTTGAAAAGTAAGTATTTTTTCACCAAATACTTATGGACACCTTTTAGGATAAGCACTAATTGATATGCATTCTTTTGATGGCATCTCATGGGGCAATGAGACTCCCTACACGTAAAATCTTTACACACTCTTCAAGCATAGGAATCCATTTTAATATTGGGAATATCTCTCCATGAATTTAACATACATGTATGGAAAATATTTCTAATATGAGGCTGGACCATGTCTCCAATAGATGCCATGTGAGCAGGTTTTTTTCTTGCTGGAGATTCCGGTTCTTTCAAGGGTTTGAAGATTATCTAGATACATGTTCACCAAAGAAAGAAGCTGCATTCATCAACTTCAATTTGAGGGAACGTTTTGTAGAAATGTCGTCAAATTTGTTAAGTAGATTTTCCTGAATTTTATACTTCTCTCTTATTCTCTATCCTGTACAGTCTTAAAGCTGTTTACGGATATTTGCAAGCTCTTTCTCTTATTCTCTTATTCTCTCTCTCTCTCTCGTTTTCTTAGTTCTCTCTTGCATCAGTCCAATGTCTCGGGTACTTCTCTTTCATCTCCACGCACTAGAAGAAGAGGAAGAAGAAGAATAAGAGTAATGTCTACATTATAATATAATAATACTATTTTCATGCTTTCTCTTTCTATGGTAGAGTGGTTCGGAAGAGAATTCTAACCCGTAAGACAGCGTTTCTACTTCTATTAGAGTAATACCTCAAAGATACTACTGATTCTCGATCAACATTATTTTACCATTATATTATTTGGCCTTTTCCAAGATACACATTTTTATCAGGGTTCTGGTACACAAAATACATCGATACTTATTTGTATTCCATACCTCCAAAACACAGGGAGGCTCTCTCTCTCTCCACACACACACATCAATCACTCACTATCAATCTTTATATATGTAGATAGGTATACATATGATATTATTTCAGAGTCTTCTTCCACCCCAACCGTGCTCTCTCTGGCAGTTGAAATACACGGCAGCAACAGGGGAGCCAAGACTGTTGCGGTTGGCGAAGTCAGTGGTAGAGAAATTTGGACGCCACTCTGGAGGGTTGAGAGTCTGCACGCCATGTTGCCGGAATAACACAAACACGATTCGATGAATGCCAAGAGTTGGACGTGGGCACTCATAGCTGACGATCTCCTGGCCTAAAATGTACATGCATGAAATAATAAAGACTGGGGTCACTCTTACTAAAACCTTCTCCTATGAATATTGAACATAGCATCACAGATATTTTCATGGCTTTCAAACCACTACGGTTACAACAGAAACTTTTCTTTCTATTTCTAACCCACACTAAATATGATTGTTGGGATCTAATTAAAATCAATGCTTTCTACTCAAAAGGGCCTGTTTGGACAATTTGTACTGGAATATTAAAATAAGTTCATTGTAGCTTGCACACCTTTTAAACCCACAATGCACTTAGTCACTCACGGTAACCTGCGCTATTATGAAAGGACCCCTAAGTAAATCTTTCAGAAATCCTAACGTGTTTGTGACGGTCCATAGAAGGATTCGTTCAATCAAGGTTTTTAAAATTGGACCAGATAGGGAACATTCTAGGTCCGGTTCTTGAGTTGAACGGTCCAACCGTTCGGTCTGAACAAATGGTCCATTTTGATAGAAAAAATTAAAAATAAAAAAAGGCCAAAAATCGTTATCCAGATTGACTGTTCAACTATTTAGGTCAGCAATTCATTCACCAAATTAACAGTTTTTGGCCAAAAAACAGTTTTGGAATAAAACAGAACCGACCAAATGATTGATTATCAGTTTTCCCAATCTGACCGTCTGGCCTAATCCGGTTTTGTAAACCATAGATTCAACTTTGATGCTGGAAAGACATGATAATGACACCGGAAAAACTTAAAATCAACCAACCGGCATCATAACCAATTACATGGGTTTTCATCAAAATTCACGGGGTTGTGATTGGTTATTATGATAGAGATTTGTTGTCGTGGTTAACTTAGTGGGCCCAGATGGAAAATATGTATTATGATAATATCTTGTCCATTTTTGCTAAATGTTCTATCCTCCTGCGAGCTATGGCAGATTTGGTGCAAAGTTGCTATAGAAAATACTTATTTCAATCCTTATGCTGTTATCCACAGAGCAGAAGCTTGGATTGTAGAGCTCCGGCCAACACCATATCCAATGGCATGCTACTACACAAATTCAGGCTCCGTTTGATTCGCAGGAGTAGGGGTTTGGAATTGGAAGTGGAATGGGTTATTCCGATTCTAACTGTTTTGTTGGGGAAATTAGAATCACATTCCCATTCCTACTAGAATGGCATTCTCCCATTTGAGGGAATGGCCATTTCCTGCCTCTCTCTTGAAAATGAAATCTCGTTTTTGCTGATTTTAATTTCCATTCTCATTCTTATCTGAATCAAACAGATTATGGGAATTAACTATTCTGATTTCAATTTCAATTCCAATTGTGAACCAAACAGACTCTCATTCATTTACCACCCAATAGTATCATGTCCCACAATTTTGGAGGCACCCACCACCAAATCATTTTTGATGGTGCAACTTTAATGCTATTCTTTGCCGTAGGTATTGTGACTCTAGGGGCCCTGATGGTGATTTCTTCTATATGCTCATTCTATTGTTTTTCCTATGAAGACTCAGTGGAGGTAGAAAGTCTAGCTTTATTGGAATCCTGCAAATTTTGTTTTGGAATTCCAGCTTCATCTTGTGATTTTTTAGGGAGATTGTGAGTTTGTAATTAAAAATCTATGGGAGGGATGTGACTCTCTCCTTTGTGGGTAGACCTATTCATGGGTCGGGCTTTCACTCTGTATTAACAGATTTTTCTAAGGCCCGGGCCCGAGCCCAGCCCGACCATCGGGCCTATAACTTGGGCCCGAACCCGGCCCTCATAAAAAGCCCGAAGCCCAGGTCTGGGCCCGAGCCCGAAATTTAGCCCATATTGTTACTATTGCTGAAGCGGCTGAATAGAGAGAGAGAGAGAATAATAAAAAATGTATATATTAAATTATAAATATATATATATATTTTAATAAATATTATATTATTTATATATTATATAAAATATATAATGCTGAGTCGGCTCGGACTGGGCTTTTTTGACAAATCCCGAGCCCGGCCCGAAACACAGTTGGACTTACTATGTTAGATCCGAGGTCAGACCCACCGGCCTAATTACATGACCAAGCCCAACCGGGATGCGAGCCGGGCCATCGGGCTACCCGGCCCATGAACAGGTCTATTTGTGGGGTATTCATCCTTTCTTGGCAGACTGTAGATTTGTTCTTCAGAGGATCCCTCGTAGCTCACTTCACTTTGTTCCCAGGCCTACTAATGTAGCTCAAGCTACTAAATTTGGGTTAAGAATTTATAAGCCACAAACCTGGGCCACTTGCCCTCAGTTTTTATCTCCTTATTGTATCTGTTAAGGTTGTGATTTGAGCTCATCGATCTTATTGGAATTTGCCTCATTAGGCATCAGAAAGAGAAAAAAAAAAAAAAAAAAATTGGGACTAGCTAGGATATCCCACAAAAGGTGGAATAATAGAAAAGTGGTATTTGCATTCCAATTGCGTAGGAACACCGAGAATCGAGGGAGAGGAAAAAGGGGTCTCGCTAAAGGTTCTGTATTCAAGTGGAAGCGTTGTTGTCATTCTATCATGGAATTATCATTGCTCTTGAGTTATGGCTCTATAGGTTCAAGGATCCGTGCACTTGGATATACGTAGATAAAGCGATTCAGTTGCAGTTTATGCACTTTTAACACCGTCACACCACCATTATCGGTACTGAAACCGTGAAAGACCTGAAGGTATAAAATGCTTACTTTGAATTTTTTGTGAATTTAATTGATTTTTTGAATTTTTTGCTTAATCCGTTGTTTAATTAGTCTTGCTTAATTTTTTCTGAATTCTTTACTTAATTAGTTACAGAGATTCACATACTCACATTTGCTTAATTATTGTTTTTCAATTTCCTGCTTATTTGCTATGTCAAAGAAAATGATGACTAGACACATATCACTAAAACATTCTACTTTCGTTTTTTGGATTTTTTTTTTGTATTTTCTACAAACATATGACTGAACACATATCACTAAAACATTCTACTTTCTTTTTTCTGTTTTTTCTGTATTTGTTTGCAATTTTCTGTGTTTTTTTCTATTTTTTCACAAGTTTCGGTGTTCTCTGTAGTTTTTTGGATTTTTTTGTATTTCCTGCCCATGCATGAGTATTACTCAACACATCCTAATTTATGTCTATTTTTTTCTGTATTTTTTTTATTTTTTTTGTGTTTTGTCTGTATTTTTTAGAATTTTTGATTTGTGCTTTTTTGTATTTTCTATGTGTTATGTATTTTATTACTTTTGTATTTTGATAGTTTTTTTCTGTATTTTTTTTTGTGTTTTTCTGTATTTTTTGTATTTTCTATGTGTTATGTACTTTATTATTTTTGTATTTAGAAAGTTTTATTTTCTGTATTTTATTTAATTTTATGTTATTTTTTATTTTTAATTGATTTATGTCATCACGGGTCAAATTGTTTGACCCAGACGGTTGAACCACCAAACCGGAAAATGGTCCCCTGATCGGTTATGTTTTTGGGTCATTTTTTAAAACCTTGCTTCTTACTATGATTTTTTCTTTTGCTATTTGACTAATGTCTTTCGCTAGTCCAAATATTGCATATCACCCATAGTTTTCAAAACCATATCGGACCGGACAATCAAACCAGAAAATTGGGAACCCGTCTGGTGACCGGTTCCATTTTTCCCCAAAACTGGATTTTTTCCAAAAACCATTGATTTTGGTCAGCAAACCGTTAACCCGGGCGATTAACCGTTTGAATAGTTTTGACCATTTTTTATTTTTTGTCAGAATGGGCTAATTGTTTGGTTCGAACGATTGGACTGTTCGACCCAAGAACCGGACCCTTGACCAATTCATTCTCCGGATCAGTTTTAAAAACCTTGCTGTCTGTCTCTCTCCTCTCCTCAGGGCTCTAACCTTTTCCCCCACAAAAAAAAAGCGAAAACCTATGAGTTAAAAAAACTTAAGAGGTGATTGACTCTACAATGTAATTGGTCAAATGAACTCTCTCCTTCCTCCCCTTCTTCTTACCATCTCAATTCCGACAAACAACACCAGAAAAGCTATGGCTCAAACTTGATAATGAAGAGGCTGTATGGACAATAAATGCTTGAAGATGCTAAATCTGATGATCAAGTTAGCCTTTTTCTTCTTATCTATTCTAGTATTCTTCATAGGTTATTTTTCCTCCTATTCATGTGTTTTGCACAATAAAAATACTGAAACGAATGAATAGGGAAAACGACTTGTTTTTTTTTTGCATTTCTCCATAAATGAAGCTTTATTTTTCAGTTACTCTTTTTTTTTTTTTTTGAATTAATGGGTTTTACATGGTAAAACACTGAAGCTAGCCAAGCATGGAACTGAAGAGAGGAATGGCTTTTTCTACGTTTTGCATCTCTCCGCAAATGAAGATCTGTTTTTTTTTTTCCTTTTTTTTTGTTTCTACTTTTTTTCATAGTCAAATATTGAAACGAACCATGGATTCTTTTCTAGCTGAGAAAGAGAGAGAGAGAGCTGGTGGTATAAACATTAAACAATCATTATAATTCACATGCTAAAGAAAATGCAAACTTAGCTATCTAAACATGGGTGTTTTCCTTAGGTTGATTAATATATTGTTATATTTATGACAATATAATTCTATTCACTATTCAGCTTGTCAAAATTCTGGGTTTTAAATTTAATAACCATCTTCATAAGATCTTCTTATAGTAGTACTATATTTTATTTGCTCAACACTCACATTTACACCTCTAGCTTAATTGCACAAAGAATGTATGTATCTGGATCATAATATGAACGTTGGACTTTGTTTTACTTACCCATAGTTCCTGTGGTTCCTTCAGGGATATTGCATACCAGCCTGCAGTGTCATATATGGAGACAGATAGTTAAGTCATATTTGTTGAAATGCATACATGCATAATTACATATAACTACAGTTCAATCAAAACCAAAACAAAAAAAAAAAATAGAAGATAATTACATACGGATTAGAAGATAAATTTGGACCGTCCCTGTGGAAATCCCTATTCTCATCCCTATCCTTGCCAGCGGGGACAAGGTTGTCCCCATCTCCGTTCTGAGATTTCACTCTTCGTGATTTTTTTATGATGTCAATTGTTCTGTTTTTATTTTTTATTTAAAAAATAAAAAATAAAATAATTAAAATTTACAATTTTATTAAAACAATACAAATGTACTCAAATATATTCAAACAAAAATGATACAAATATACAAAAATATATATAAGCGGGGGATCTCCACAGGTGGGCAGTGCTCTCCCATCCTCATCCTATTCCTGCCAATGGGACGAAATTTTCCCCATCCTCATCCCTACGATGGAAAAATCATCCCCATCTCTGCCCCATTTGGGCAGGTCCCCACGGGGATGAGGGAAATGGGAAATTACCATCCCTAATTTTATGTATGAAGGAGCAATTTGTCCAATATATAATAATAAGAAATTATTCAAGCCCTGCATGTTAGAGGTAGAGCTGTCAACAGGTCAGGTTTGGGCCAAGACCAACTAAAACTAGAGCCAACCCAACATGAAAGTATTTGAGGACTCGGAACTGAACCGAACTGAACTCAATAGGGTCTATAATTTTTAGACCTAGAACCAAACTGTTCGGTTCTCGGGACAATCAAATCTAACCTGATGGACCCAATTGTAATAAATATATATTTAATATATAATATTATATATTATATATAGCTCGGGTTGGGTCTGGATCATTTCGAGATTGGGTAGAACTAGTTCTGAACTAATAATAATTAAGACACTATATCAGGACCCAGAACCAATTTGTCGGTTCCAATTTCTAAAACAAGAACCGGCCCAATCAGTTTAGGCCCATTGGACTTTCTTGGTCGGACCCGACCCATTGCCAGTCCTACTTAGAGCCATTTTATGGATCTCATTATGACATACTTCGTAAAGAATCTATTGTCAAAATTAAGGTTTATACTAGTTGAAAGGGGAACAGAGGATAGAGTAAGAAAACATGAAAAATGAGTGGCAAGAAAACGTTATAATAGGATTTCATGTGTTATCATTATTGGGGTGGGTAAAATATGTAATAAAAAATATCCATAAAATATGTTATGATACACAAAAGGGAATCAATTATAGAACTACTGATTGGGATAAGAGAGAAGAGAGAGGCAGAGGGCGTTACCAGTGCAAATACTCTTTCTGGTTTGGATTACTTGGATTTGGAGCATCAGGATCGACCATTATCTGCAAGATAACAAAACCAACTGATGATATATGCATTTGGCATATATGAATATATTCAAATACATCATCACCGGGATCCACACTTATCTTTAAGATAACTAAATCAAATGATGATATATGCCACACAATCATGCAACAAATTCCAAATTTTATTACTGAAATACATAAGAAAATTAAACCGTTTGTAGGGGGATTGAATCAGATATATAGGAGTTGGAAAAATAATATAATATCCAAAACAAATGAACTCTTTCCCCTCCATGCTCTCAACTTTAGAAGTTTCGAAAAGAGACAGAGGAAGAGAAAGGCTAAAGAACTTTTCCTCAATTTTCCGTTTGTCTCTCTATCTCTCTTACTTTTTTTTCGTCGAACCAAACATAATCTAAAGTCGCATGTACAAGAAAAAAACAATGGAATAGACAAACATAAAATCCCTGCTATCAGTTTCTCCATTCAAAACCTTGTCAACTCATCCCTCTCATATTCTGCAACATCCTCTAGTTTCATAAATAAAACTAAAATGAAAAACCTTGTATCACCTCCAAACAATTTGAATAAAAAAACAATATTTCAATGCCCACAATAATTTCATAGGAACGTGAAAACGAAACCAAATAAAATAAAATAAAATAAAAAATCAAACAAAAGAACCAAATAAGAGAAGAAGGGCTACGATTAGAAAAGCGTGGATGGTAATACGTGATTTAGTTGATAGGTTCTTTGACTTCCAGGAGTAGAGACCTAGAATGGAATCTTGCTGCCACCAGGGTTGTGGGATTAGAATTGGGATCTGCTTCTCATAGAGAGCACCTCACACCAAACTTACAACCACATCCCACCCTATATAGGGAATATCTCCCCATGAATAATAAATACAAGTATGGAAGAGTTCTCAATGTGTGGCCAGAACATGCTGAGAGGTCGGTGTAAAGCACACTGGGCGAGGAGGAGATCTGGATTCAGGGGATTAAGGGAGATGATTGAGCTACCCTGGTTGTGCCCCATGAATCTTCAAGTCCATGTTTGTCACTTTGACTAAACCCATGCTCATGATAAATTTCACCGTAAATTGATGATTCCTCCCCTGAAGATTCTGATCATTACTGTAACTTCCCCTAAAGTTTGGAAGTTTCAAAATGTCAATCACCTCCTCTGAATTTTCTAACACAGTTACAAGTAGACCGCCTCTACTAGAATCCTCTAATAGGAGGCATGAAAATGTCTAAAATACCCATGCAAAAACAGTGAATAATTTCCCGTGCATGGACTAAAATATTAAACACATGGAGAGACCCATTAAAAGTGAAGCTTATGTGATGCCTAACTGTCAAACAATACTAAATAAACCTTTATCACCAACTTTTTCATTTTTACGGCACAGTACTAAACGTGTCATGTGGGGAGAGTCTTACAACCCAGTGGTCCAATTTGGGTTCAGATGAGGTAAGCACGAAATACCTTCACCCCACCCTTGAAAAAGATTAATACCCACTTTTTGACGGTTGCCAAAATAGTTATCAAGTGATCATTTAATATGCTTAATTTGATGTGCATAATAGATCCAGTCCCGTCAAATTTACACAGCAAAATTAATGTATTGATGATTGAGGCAGGGATTAAACAATTAAACATGAGTTAATTACTCACCAGTGTATAAAAAGTTGTTAGGTCATTGCCTCCAACTTCGACCTTAGGTTGGTTGACCACAGCTGATGGCTTAAACTCGTAGCTATTATTGACATTCCTGCTGTTGTAGGAGACTTTCAGGGAAACGCTTCTTTCAAAAGGCTCCAAAACATCCCCTACAACACGACCAACCACCAATGCATCCCTTCTTCCAGACATTGTAACAAACAGAAAGAATGCAACCCACAGAAATATGCATGGACAACGCCTGCATATATATATATATATATATGTATACAAGTAATTTGGTGGTCGTTCCTTTTAACTCATCTTTCATTAGAAGAATCTGCTTTTCTAAGCACCAAAGTACCAATATGCTACAATTATTTCCTTTTTTTTCCAACTTACAAGCCAAGTGGAAGCAACCTTTAATATTCTTTGAGTCAGATATGCGGAATTGAGAATGATGTGAGTCATGTGATCATCTTCATATCGGCAGGGAAATCCGTTTAACTCGAGTCTGATGCATGCATGTTCTAGTTCTAATACCAGTGTTCAATGGCAGAATCCGTTATGGGAATCCTTGTTTAATTAGGTCTTATGCATTGAATGGATCACAGTTAAAAAAGGGAAAAAAAGAAGAGATAGTTGCACTCAGTGCGTGAAAGGGTCTCCCATCCACACATGCATTTTGAAAAGCAAGCTTTAATTTGGTGGGGTCGTGCCTGAGACGACGTCGACAGAGTTCTTGGTGGTTCTAATTGCGATATTCAGCGTGGTCCTGTTAGGTCATTTGTTCGTTCCAGTCACCAACAGCCCCAATGGATGATACCAGAATTCTGGAGTCAGGACCTCTAGTTTAACATAAGGTTGTCAATGGGTCGAGCAGACTCTGGCCTAGTTTAACATAAGGTCAATCACTAACAACCAATGTGTTTTGATTATAACTAGTGGGGGAATGCTTCACGGGCTATGAGAAGGGAAATACGAGTGTGCACATTGCATATAGGAGGACAAGGAACTATGATCTAACATCAATATGAATAAGTTTAAAATTTTGTGTTTTTTTTCTATTAGGGTATGTGTCTTATTTTTTAATTGCTGGAACTTTCTTTGTTTAATCTAAGGGTTGGTATGGCCTTTCTTTAAGTTAAAAAATGTTTACATATAATTTTTTTTTTTTTTGTATGTAAGGTTGGGGTTTTTTTCCCATACAAGTGAAAAAGAATTTTTTGTTCTTATTGGAGAGAAAAAAAGAGAGGTAGAGAAAAAAATGGTGCTCTTGAAGTAAGAGTGGAGTCTTTGTTGTCATTTTGTTCCTCGGGTTAAAAGATGAAAGGGAGAACAGGCGTACAAGGGTTAAGGGTTGATTTGGGTTACAAGCCATAAGGTATTTGCATTGTTTCTCATTTTTTTCATAGTGAAGAATAGTTTTCGTTTCTCCGATAGACGTAGACGTTAAGGCTGAACCACATAAATTCTTTGTAATCCTGGTGGTACTAATTTTTATTGGTCTTTACTTGAATTTTGTTATTTTCGTTACTATTGGATTTTTATTGGATGCTATTTCAAATGATCTATGGCTTTATCCTGTGGGTGATTCTTGTGAGGTCCCAATACTCTCTCTAGTCCCAATTTACACTATATTAAAATCATGAAGTCGAATCCAGGGGTGACCATTTTTAGTCCAACCTAGACAAAAAATTCCAAGCTTGGTTCAGGCCTAGGCTTGCATTAGGACTACAATTTTTTATTAGAGCTCCTAGGTTGGTGTTTATAAGGTATTTGTGAAATTGCTTAAAAGATAATAGCAACAAAAGATACAAGTTTTTAATTCTAGATCGATATGTTTGGTGGCAAAGGAGGGTGAAGGACATCCTAGTTCAACAAGACTTGGCTAAAGTGTTGAAGGGAAATAATGGTTTGCTTGAAGACATGAAGGATATTGATTGGGAGGGCAGCAATTACTTTTCAATGGTACTAGTAAGCATGTATATGCAAAAGCACATGGCAATTTTTTATAATAATGATGATGATAGTAAATAATATATTTCCAATTTTTTTATAATTTTTTATATTTATATGTCTATCAAAATTGTTACATATCACACTTTATTTTTGTTTAATATAATGAATATACAACAACAATTCTTATTTTTTTATATTTTTATGAAAATCTTTAATGATGGTGATGATAGTATATAATATGTTTCCAAATTTTTCTATAATTTTTGTATTTCATGTCTATAAAAATTATTCTTATTTGTCACACTTATTTTTCTTTAATATGATTAATTAATATAGATTTCAATGAAAGATTAGGAGTTAATACACTAAATACAAGACTTAACGAGGATAAATGTAGTAGTTCTAATTACATTTTGTGCCCTCACACTTAGAGAGGGAACAAATTCAAAGATAAGGGTATTCTAGTCGAGAATAGGATTCAAAAAATATTAATGGGACTATGGGAATTAATACTTTAAATATAAGACTTAGTGAGAGGAATTTAAATGAGAGAAAATTGGTTATTCAAATTACTTTCTTGTCCCTACAAGGAGAAAGGAACCAAATTAAAAAATTTGGGTATTTTAGTCAAACAAAAGTTCCACACTTTTAATCAATGTTTTAAAAACCGACCTGAAACCAGAACCGTTCTGGCCACCAGTTTTCTGGTCAATGGTTCAACTATTTGCTTTGAATAGACAGCCCATTCTAACAAAAAAAATTAAAAAATAGAAAAATCATTAAAATTTAAAAAAGGCCAAAACCATTGAATGGATTGAACGTGTCAACAGTTTGACTAGTCGGGTCAATGGGTCATTGACCAATTCAACGGTTTTTGGCTAGGGACCGGGTTTGGGGTAAAACGGAATCGTTTGCCTAGATAGTTCCCAAGGCAAACAATTCGATGATCCGGGTCAATGGTGTTTTGAAAACCTTGCTTTTAATAGTAGTATAGATTATTAAAAGGGAAATTTCACTTTAGGGGTAATGTCAAGTTAGTACCCGAACTTTCAAACGTGTCACTACATTACCTAAACTTTCAAAAAGTGTCAAGTTGGTCCCTATTGTTAATCGACCATCAGTTATCTGTTGAAAATGTCAAAACTACCCTTCAAAAGAAGACACCGTTCATTGTCTTCTACCTTGAGACTGAACCGGTTGAGGTGTTTGGATTTCTAAACTAATGAAGTCATTGTCTTCTACCTTTAGATTTGTAACACATTATTGTCTAATTATTTCTTTGCTTTTAATTATTGTTTTCCTCTATCATATTTCATGATTTTTTTTTCTCTTTTTTCTTTGAAAATAACCAGTTCAATCTCAAGGTAGAAGACAATGAATAGTGTATTTTTTTGAAGGATAGTTTTGACATTTTCAACAAATAACTGATGGTCGGTTAAAGATAAGGACCAACTTGACACTGTTTGAAAGTTTAGATACTGTAGTGACACATTTGAAAGTTCGGGTACTAACTTGACAGTTGATACTACTCACAAAGTTTAGGATAATAAAGTGGAATTTTCCTTTATTATAATTAGTAAAAAATTTAGGGTCATACACAATAAAGATACTATTTTAGATTCTTAATAGCAATTGGAGAAGGTCTCTCCACACATTTCATAAGATGGCACATGAGATTAAATGAGGGATTGGGCCATATGGACTTTCCACATGTAGGTTTTGTTTTTCGCAAATTGACACACCTATAGATTTCATTTTTTGTAAGCTAGGTGCCTATTCATACCCATTTTGCTTACATTGTCTACATACGTACACACAGACATATATATATATATATACATATACTGTAATGCTATCATATTATAATGTCCTTATATATATATACATATACTGTAATGCTATCATATTATAATGTCCTTGGTGGATGGCAGACTATGTAAATTTTATTAATAATTCAAAGGAAAAACGCTTGGGTTGGAGAAAATAGCTTCCCCCTCTAAAAACTATACAAAATGCATTTTAGTGGAACCAAGCAAAAATGAAATAAAAGGAATCTAACGCATAAAAGAACCCTTGATGAGTATGACAAATATCCATATAATTATTGCTACAATATTCATTCCATGCGCAACCAGTTAAACCATCTACAACACTATTTCCTTCTCGATGAGTATGACAAAAGGCAACATGCAATTTTTGGCTTTTGGAAGCCCATGCAATTTTGTTTTGGATGTCTCTAGTCTCTTCCAACCAATACCATGTTTTTCAAGGAATTTTTTTATCTCTTTTCAATGATCTTTAGGGTTTTGGAATCATACTACGCAATAATGTTATTCAACCTCATTGATTTTGGCAAAACTGACCCATCTACTATAGCTCAAACTTTAGCTTCAAGGTTTGTTGAGAAATCATAAAAAATAATAAAAAGGAGTTAAAACCCTTATGTGGCCCATTTGTTTTTCGGATTCTAAAGAGGGGAGAAGTCGGTCAATGGGATTGTGGTATTAGTTACTTGGGTAAGTGATACCCGGCCATTTGCTAGATGGATAAATAACTTTCCTAGTTGTGGAAAATTTGACAAAATGTGTTGGGACAATTTTGCCCATTATAATAATGACCTTTTATGTATAAAAGAGTCATTGTATAATTTACCTATGTATCACTTACCTAGGTAAATAGCTTTCTAAAAAATCAACGGACTACTATCTGAATCACCCCTCCTCCACCCATTTGAATTAGGATTGCTTATAGATGCACCATCCACATGTTGAAAATAGGTGTGAAATGATTTATATTACTTTATATTTTCTTTATCTCCCTAAAGCAAATATAGAGACAAGTTTTGAACCCACTTAAAAGAGGGAAGATCACTTACCTGGAAACACTTAAATCCTTACTCTTGAGATCAAAAGGCCCATGAATTGGGACTTCGCGGGTTTAGACCTCTCCTAAACCAGACCATGAACCCATGCATAAGATTAGACTTAGAAGACCCTGAACTCTCTAAAATAAGAGAAGAAAGAATTTATCTATCAACACTTGAGGGAAGCTCCACTAAGAGAGAGAACCTCTACTTAGATGATCTCTTAGGCTTCACACAATTGGGATGTCTTATGAGACCTTTTTGGAGAAATGAAAGTTGTGTGTCCAAGGCTTTGGCAAAGCCCCTATTTATAGTTATGGCCTTGGTTTGAACCTAGACAAGAGGTAGTGGTAGATTCCACCTTCACCCCCACCTTTGGCTACAAGATTTAAATTTTCAGG